TTAATATTGAGAGCAAGTGTTTGTATGGCATTGAGATTTAAATATAACTAAATCTAAAACAATATTGAATTACATTTGAAGGGACACTCGGAAAGTGCACTCAATAGCCGTTTATTAGGCATTAGTTCATCTCATCTAATGTTCTCATGTGTTATAAACTGCACCAAAGATTGAAGTCTTAAACTTAAGTCAATTAAATTAAGTCCAGACTCTGTCCTTGACCTCAATCAGGAGCCCCGGTATAGCAGTTAATACATGACTTGTAGTAATACAAGCTTTTCATATAATACTGGCTCTAATTGTCATATTGAACACCACTTTAAATATGAGTTATGGTTAATGCCGTAAATACTAGCATATCAGGCACATATTCTCACAAATTAAATTAGCTGTGGTTTCAAAAAAACTTATTTTAATTGCATTCTCGTAACAAATATTTGAGATATATTACATATATAGCATTACTAGGGAACAATATAATAAATATAAATACAGTACTAAATTTAGTATATTACTGCACAAACTTAATTGTGATAAATAATGTAAGATTCATTACTCCTAAGGACTTTGTCACTCAATTATAATAAGTTATATTTAGTGTTTAATAAGGAAAACTATATTTATAATAATTATTATTGTGGCCAATATTTGATGACTTTAATTATAATAATGAATAGTAGTATTTGCATTAGAATTGTCAATCTATCATATTTTGTTATATGAAATGGAAAACATTTATTGATTTGTAACATATTATTTGCAATTTCACACAATTTCGACACTTCAATGAGTTGTATATTATTGAGACAACTAATTGTCAAATCAGAGCTAAAACTCTTGAAATTGTTAAACAAGTATTTAGTTATCACTTAATATTTAAGACAAATTGACAATTATCTTGAAAACTCATCGTTTTTAGCGGTAATCAATGCTAAGTAATCTTTGTTTAAACGATAAGAAATACTTTGACAGTTAATTATTTTAATTATAATTACAATACAGTAAATTCGCCTTTAATAGCAAAACATTAAATATTGCATTAAAACTATTCAACTGTTTTTTGATAACAAAATTGAAATATTGATCGAAATATTGTTTTATACAATAGTCTGTAAATTCAGTTATTAAAGCCATAATTATGTCTACAGTCCTATGAAAACCGCAATCTTGAATTTGATTGCAAAGCTTTTTAAGTGCTTTCATATGTATGCTTATGCTATGCTATGTTTTATGGCGATTATTGAATTTACATATGATTTGGATTATTCCCTAAACTGAATGCAATGGAAATACAGTACAGTATGTGTAGTATTGAGTGAACAATAAACTGATTTGAGTGTTGGATGTGTTGCCTATTATTGATAACTAGTGTAGAGAATAGCGATATAAGCGATGACTCATATTCTATATATAAAAGGGAGAAATGCCTTAACATTGAAAGCTTTACTATTCCTGTGCTGTGCTATTAATGCCCACGAATTCCATCACATGAATGCTATCGACTGAACAATACTTATAGTAGAGTGAAGTCGATTGCCTTCAATGCATGTGTTATCGACTTTAACAGCAATCAATTGATTGCAATCATACATATCACACATCTTATTATTCTTATCAATAAACTTATTTTTAAATTCTTATAAAAAGTGTTGAACAGTGTTTGCAAAATCTGATAACGAAATGCATTTAATATAGCGTTTAGAGTGAAGACATGAAGTGATGAGTTGCGCCCAACTATGCTTTCATTAGTGAATAACTGGCCGACAATGGAGGCCATGGATTCAGATGTGGACTCATTGGAAATAGATTTAGTAGAATTGCATCAATTGGCTGAAGTGATTGTGAATCGAGTGGATAATGTGCTGATAATCGACAGCCGATCCTTTCTGGAGTACAACACATCCCACATCTCATATGCAGTGAATGTGAGCTGCTCTAAGATTGTCAAACGAAGACTTCAACAAAACAAAGTATGTGCATATCATCTGCATTCGTCCACTCATTGAGCCATTAATTGATTGAAATTGTCTTTATTGCAGATATCGGTGAACGAACTGCTGGTGCACTCGTGTCAGTGTCAGATAGACAGTAGTCATGCGGTGATAGTCTATGACCAGCAGTCGACGGATTTGTCAATACTTTCAACCGACAGTTTCGTGTCAATACTGTTAACGAAGTTGAGTTCAGTTTTCAAAAGTGTTGGTCTATTGAGGGGCGGATTTCTGGACTTCCAGTCGGCGTATCCGTCACTTATAGAGAATAAAGCGGCCAAAGGGGCCAACACTTTGACCTCACTGTCGCAGCCCTGTATGCCAATCAGCAATCACGGGCCAACGCGAATACTGCCGTTCCTGTACTTGGGTTCACAACAGGACGCCCTCAACAAAGACACACTTCGAGTAAACAAATCTAATCTTTGAATCCAATACTTGACCTCTTCTTCACATTACATGATCTTCTAATTGAATACTTAATACTCAACTCATTATCATTGTCTTATAGGACCACAACATTCAATACGAACTCAACGTCAGTACCTCCTGTCCTAAGCCTGAGTTCATCTCTGACTCGCATTTTTTGCGAATCGCAGTCAACGATAATTATAACGAGAATTTGTTGCCGTATTTTCCAAAAGCTTTCAGTTTTTTGGGTTCGTATACACCGTCTAGTGTTTAGTGTTTGCTTTGGTGTCCTTCGACTCCAATACTTAGTCTATGTTTTGATGTTTTTGTAGATAAAGTGCGAGAATCGGGCGGCTGTGCAATAGTGCATTGTTTGGCGGGCATCTCACGTTCGGCTACCGTTGCCATCAGTTATGTTATGAGACACTTATGTATGTCATCAGATGACGCCTACAGGTATGCCATTATAACCTGTAATTACTATTGCTCACATTTGCTCACCATTGCAATCACTGCTGCACCTATAGGTACGTCAAGTCGAAAAGAGCCACTATTTCTCCAAATTTCAATTTCTTGGGACAACTGCTCGAATACGAGAAGCAATTAATTAGGGAACAAGTCTTAAGCAACTTCTCCGAAGACTGCTCTCGAGTCACATCGCACTCGGCGCCCATCCAGTCATCGGTGAGCAACCCTTTGGCGTTCGCCTCCTTCCCAACAGTTCCTCGGCCGCGACGCCTCAACTTCCCCGCAAAGAAGGCACCAACTCTTGACCCCTTCACACCCACCCCTCCCGACGAGAACATCTCGTCCAATGGCGACCAATCGCCCACCGCTTCACTCAAATTGGTTCGCATCTTCTGAGGCAATGCCAACACTCATGTCATTCACGTCTGAACACAAACTTATGTCTAAATGACTTAATTATGATGTCGTCAAACATATCGCTGTATTTATAAATCAAATCAAAACTCAGACTTAACTTAAAATGAAGATATAATTGCAATTCACAACATCTGTACATAACTTATATTTGTTTACCACTCGACTCTTGTGTACAAAATATCATATTTGCGATAAGTTTTCCTATGATTGTAACCATACCTCTCAACATCTGGTCGACCACAGCACCGGACAGACCTACAGAACCTATGCTGTCTTGGCTGGCAATCGAGTCCCTCTCCCCTTATATTAATTCAATTCATATCAATCTGTTTATAAGACATTGCATTACAAGACATTGCATTACAAGACATTTGTTTCGAACCATTAAGAGTACAATCGCTGTGAAAAACTTAGCATTTTTGCTAAAAACCATTAAATGTACAAAAGATTTCATTAACTGAATGACTGAACCAATCATTCCTTCTTTTGCTTACTCTTCGTGTATTCATCGCTTGTATTATGAAATGAGTTGTCAATCAAACTATTAGACAAACGTTTGGTTCAATGTTTTTGATTTGTTTGATTGATTAGAGTTTAGTAATTATTTATCTATATATTTATGCATAAATTAATTTAATGTTATAATAAAATTGTCAATTTATATTACAGTCAAATATAATTAAATTCGTTTTCAGTTTAAAGTTATTCTATAATTAAAACAATATAATTGAAAATAACATAAAAAAAACTTTATTTAGAAAAACATTTGCGAATCAGTTATCAAATAATATTTGATTTAAAAAAGAGCGGCAAAACATGTTTACAGTATTACGTGGTCTACCTGTCAGTCTATGCATACATTGAGATAATATCAGACATTTGGATGCAACACATGACCGCAGATGAACACATCCCAAGAGCTAATTGGAGTGAAAGCGCGTAATAACTGACTCTCAAAATATTTATATCATTTCATATCAAGTTTATTATTGGCAACAAGTTTTGCGCCCATAAGTCAATGACAAGCTATTGAATGCTTATTACAATATTACATAAAATATATAAAAAATAAGTCCAATAATCAATAATAATAATAATATCTATAAAATAAAACTTATATAAAAATATTTTTTTTTGTATATTTATATGAGATCTTATGGATTAAGCAATAAATAGATAGCAATGGTATGGTATGTATGTATAGGTTGTATGAAAGGCTGCAAAACAGGTATCGAAAGGCAGAGGCAGTGATCGACATATACTTTGCTGACATCACAATCAGTTGGTCTGAAGGCAGACCTTCCATCAAGTGATCAACTGATTGAGCACTGAATCGATGGATTGCAGGCATAGGTAGGCATCGATGTGACGGTGAGGGCAGCCATGTTTGCCTCTTAAGGGAGCGATCCTTAGCTCTTAAGCTGACAATATTTAGGCGCGATTTTAGCTCAACTGAGATCTATTGGAGTGAGTCTTGTATAGAGGAGAGAGAGTCAGACTGAGAGCAAAGCGGGAGAGAGAGAGA